CTACAACAGCTTCGCCTTGGTGTGAGTGGATACCCTCTTATTCTTGTACTAAAAGTTTGCAGAATTTCTTTTTACATCATATATGTTGATTCATCCTCCTTCCTGTCTCCTCTGGAAGCAATTCTCATATACGCTTCTATCATTTATCTGGAATTTCATTCTGCTGTTCCGTGTTTAAGAAGAGGATGATTAGATTCTAGCAAAATGTCAAGTTGAACTATGCTTACCTTTCATACAGCAACATATTTCTCAGTATAGTCTTCTGTATCTTTATTAAATTGCTGTAGGGTTTTTTTTGGTGTCTAAACTTTCTGTACTGTTTTCTTCTTTTGATACTCAGATTAACTTCTCAGACATCAACTATGTATACATGAGGTGCTGTAGACAAATAATTTTAAATAATGCTTCAGTTTAAAAAGCTCAAAGTACCACATGAAATTCTACCTGCTATCATAGCTCTGTAATCAAGATGGTTTTTTAAGTACTTATAAATTTCTAGCATTCAGTTTGTTTTCTGTTTGGGAATACATCTATTCGCTTTCACTTCAAATTCATTAAAAATGAATGAAAATTTAATACCAGCCCCACATTTACATTTTTTCCATAAGACACTAATGTAAGTCAATTAGATTTAATTTTCTAGATCTAAGTGTAGTTCTTCCCCTAACAACTTAATAAACAACAGTTTTCCATTACTTTAGAGAACTACTTAAACTTATATTTTGTATGTCGCTTTTCATTTTTCTTGAAGAAATTCCTCTCTAACATAACTTGTATCTGATGACCTCTTATTTGAAGTAAGATTTTCAAGAAAGGCTGATTTTTTTTAAACGCAGTCTGAAGATGAAATTATCTACAACAATACAATTTTCATAAAATTTATTATTTAATTGCAGATATTAAAAAAATGAAGTAAATTTTCTTTGCTGAGTGGGTGGTCAAAGATTGGAATGTCTTCCTAGAGGGGTGGTTGATGTTCCATTCTTGTCATTGCTCAGAAAGCATTTGTACAGTGCCCCCAGTAATATGCTTCAACTTCTGGTTAGCGCTGAAGTGGTCGGGCTGCTGAACTCAGTGATCTTTGATAGTCTCTTCCAGCTGAACTCTTCTGTAAAATAAAATTAACTCCTCAGAGAAGACAACTGACACTGGAAAGCCTGCTCTTACAGGTAGGGGATATCACAGCCAGGTCTCTTCCAGAGTAATTTATGCCATGTTGGAGAGAACGAGAGCTCGTTCTCTGGAATGTCACACTGGAATGACGCTGTTAAGATTAAGAAGTTTTGTGGAAAGCATCCTCTTTTTAACATGCCTCTTGGCATTACATTTGATCATTTTCCTCAACAAAAATATCCACAGAAATTCTGCTGTAGGAAGTCCATGCTGTATTTCATTGTTTAATCTGGTAATTAAATAACTGATTTGGTATCAGCTGGTAGATATATTCTTCTCAAATTTTCTTATGATTTCACAGAATGATAGTTATGCTGTGCAGTCGTTTTAAAACCCGTTCAGTGCCTTCAGTTGACATTGGTCTCCAATAAATAGGTTTTTCATGTCAGAAATTCAGTTACATAGAATGGTACAGAAGATAACTTTTTGTCTCCTGAGTTACCTGTCAGTAAAATGTATGTTGTTAAATGTAACTGAAATTTTGCTCAGTTTAAAGGAGTACTTGTGAGTAGCAAAATCCACAATATAAGCCCTACAGTCTTTTTTAACTACATAAGCTTATAAAAATGGAAAGAGATATTTGAGCCATCTAGTGGTTGGTATGAAACATTTTAACATTCTGAATGGGTTGTAGAAAATGCAAACGACACCAACTTGGAAACTACATTTCCAATTTGTATGATTTTTAGCGGCATTGCTGTAGAACGAAAGAGACTGACGTTCAGATTCAATTTTGAGGTACAGTGTGTTTCAGCTTGCAACTTTCTTGTAGATTTCTGTGAAGACAGGGATCTGATAACATAAAAACTACGTTTAGATATTCAAAGCCGAAGAATGAATTTTAGAATGAGTTCTGAGGAATTGTGAAGATTCTGAGGAACTCTTCTTACAGTCTTTTCCATAGGTTTCTGTTCTTTATGGAAAAATGTTTGGAGGAAAAAAAGTGTTGGTTTTTCTTTCCCATCAGCAGCTATTTATGGCAAGGTCTTGAATAGCAAGCATTAAATTAAACAAAAAAAGTTTACAGAAAAAAACAGGACAGATTGTGATATACTTCTATTCAGAAGCAAGTAACAGAGTCAAACGAAAACAAATTTCTTAAGTCAGAGTATGCAGAGTCACAGAATCTTACAATGTCAAGGAAAAGCACATTTTTTGATGGAAATTTCGTGTTGCAATGCAACCCTCGTGATCTTTCTTGGTCCTTATAAGCAGTAAACTGTTGTAGCCTTTGATATTGGCTGTTGCCAATTAGACTTGGCTGCATGTTGAGCTTGATGGTATTCTGCAATAGAGGCAGAAAAGTCAGTTACTGAAGTAATGAACTTCATGTGTAACTCACCTTGAATGAGTGGCGGGAAACTACTGCTTACGTGAGCCACTGTATTATCTTCTAGTCCTTGTGAAAGTCACATCCAGCTTCAAGACCAGATTAAAAAGTATTTTTTAATTATTAGGGCAAACCTAATAAATAATGAACAAGCAGTGCTTATGGTGTTACATTAAATTAGAGCTATAGTCTTTCAGAACAGATGAATGTGCTTCATGCTGACTTTTCAGAATTTTCATTCTGAAATTTTTGGAGTTTGCATCTTTATGTTGACAGTAAATTATTATGAAATCTTAAATCTTACCCTGATTCATATTGAGAAGACAGTGGTATCTTAGCATGTTTATAAGGTCAGTTTCAAATGCTTTGTAAGGCCAAACGAAAATAAGAATGAGAAAAATTAGAAAACCAGCCATGGAACCAGGGAAGAACAGTAATAGTGGATTTTTATTTTACTGGGGCAGGAACAACTTGAAAGCTGTACGTAAATTTGATATATTAGTGCATTTGGACAAATCACTTGTATTTTGGTCTTGTCATATGCTTTCAATGTTGAGTATTGTTAGCACTTTGAATCAAAATAACAGATACATCAATATTCTGAGTGTATAACTCACCTGTATTGTGAACTTTAATAGATGTCAGAAGAGGAAATTAAATTCTTCGAAGATTGAAGAAGTTTTAGTTATCTGGCATATTTTTCTGTGGTTGTGATGAATTTTGCAGTTGTGATGCAGTAGTGATTAAGGATTTTTCGATTATTCTTCTCAACTGGTATGGTGATCTGGTCTTGAATCACAGTTATTGAATCTCCAAATAACATTGCACAATTTTGTTATCTTCTCTTCTGCAAAGAAGCCTGAACTGAACAGGGTAGAGGTTGCTATGCGTGTATTCTATTTTGCAGGTTTCCAAGTTGCACATGTGAAAATATCTCTTATTGTCTTACTTTGTTTAAAAAGACTTCTAGACCAAGACGTTATGTATGTTCCGTTTTTGAGCTTTTCGTTATTCCTAGTCTGTTGTTGCCAGAACACATTTGGATAACTGGAAATACATGGGGTGTGGAATTTAAGATCTGTGTGTTTATAATGTCTGTGTTGTGCTTTTGGGCACTGGAACTGGAATGTAATTTTATGCTAATGTTAGCGTATCATCTTTTATTGTTTATGTGCTTCCCTTTCCACCCCGTTTCTACAGTGCCCTGATAGTCATAGTATCTGGTCATTCCAAAACATTTTCTTGGAATCTATCCATTTCTGAAGCTGTGTTCCAACTGTATTCATGAATGCATCTTTGGCGATTCCCCTGTTTATAATTTGCATTTAGAAAATACAAACGAGATATATTGAAATCATAATACTAGGTTCTGTTTCTGATGAATGGTTGCTCTTCAAATTAGGTTTTGGTTACCACTTATTTTCTAGGAGAAAATTAGTTGTCTTACGTATCTCAGTTTGGTCTAACGCATTGTTCAGATTCTTTTTCTGACATTGCATAAAAATAAAATTGTTGAAGAAATGAATAGGAGTGGAATAGGAATTATCTTGAAGAAGAATCTTCAACAGTAGAAATTTCATCTGTGTTCATGTGTCAGAGCCCTTTCATTTTAGATGTATTCATGGTCTCTCAAAAATGGCAACACACAGAAGAAAAAACTAAAATTGTGACGTAGGCAGCATATATGTTTTCTTCTATAAATAATAGAATAGCTGCTAAATAATTTTACTGTGACATAACATTTTATCAAAAGAAAAAGCAATTTGTTTATTTTTCCATATTTTAAGAAATATGTAATAATTATTTGTAAACATTCACTGAACTCCTTAGTAATGTCACTTTGGAAAAAAAAATGGAAAATGAGTTTTTAGTACAAGAGTGGTCCTTCTTTTTTTCTTTTCACTACAAAATAAGAAAATCAAAGATACAAATCTGATTAATGATGAAGAAACATCATTAATGCTCTCAATTTGAAGCTGATGGTCTGAGTTTTTAATATTGATAAAAAGTAGAAATTCCTTGAGCATGTTTTCAGATTCTTTTAACTCAGCTTCTCTTCTAGACAATGAAATTTAAGTGTGCATCTTTGTTTTACATGAATGTAAATTACTGTAACTGTGGCATGCTCTTAGGTTATAAAACATTTTTGTTGTATTAAATTGCCAGACCATCATTTGCTTCCCTGCTGTTCTGCAAATAGAACAAAGCACATTAGTTTCTCTTGATGTAAAAGTACTTGCATATTATTACTACTGTTCCTCCAGAGATAAATTTCTACATTTAAATTCAGAATTTAATTTCAAATTTTGCAGAGAATTTAATCTATTTTTTAAATCTCTAAAATCTCATTCCCTTTTTTTTTTTTTGTTCATCCTTCTCAGTGAAATTAAAATATGCATATCTTACAGTAGAAATTGAACGTTGAACAGTGAGCAAATACTTGCAGTTCAGTCACGTTGGTTTATCTGGGTTCTAACACTGTTTCTTTTCTTTACAGAATGCTGCCTTTTTATATGGCCTTGGTTTGGTCTACTTCCATTACAATGCCTTTCAATGGTAAGTTGGAATAAACTAACAGTAGTAGTGTATGTTATGGTGTTTTATTGATAAATGAATATTTCAACTTTAGTGTACAATAGTTTAATTGTTATAGTGTAAATATGATGATAGAAGGTGCGTTGTCCTGGATCTCATATTTATTTGCCTGTAACGTGCTCATTGCAAACACAGCAGTTGCTTGAATAGGAGAGCAATTACAGAAAAAAGTGGTTTAGCTTCCTGTCACACAATTCAGCAAGGGGAATGAAATGGTATGATTTGACAGGTTTCTATGAATTCTTCATATGTATGGTCAATAGCCTGTGTTGTGAACAAATTTTACATTTCTCTGGGAAGTGTTGACATAAGAAGTTTCTGTTTAGCTGCTGTTCAGTAATTTTTCCATAACTGTGTATGGTGAAAACTTTAAACATGAGCAGCAGTACATGAACAGACAAGTGCTTTGCCATGAATGTTTAAAACTGACATAAAATCCCAGAGCTATAAAGAGCTGTAAATTCTGGCTGGATTTTTGTGAGTGGGAAGGGGCTGCTGTTCTGTTGGGGATAGAAGAAGGGCTGGTTTTGGTGTTTTAATTTTGTGGGAAGTTTTGTTTTTCTTTTGCTTCACTGGAATTGAGCGAAGAGTGATGAACAGAATAGACTTGATCACTGGGGTTCAGTTGAGATTCTCAGGCTTTCCTGGTCAATAGCAAGAAAGTTGCAATTTATTTAGATACCATTGGGGGGAAAAAAAAAAGTAAAAAAGGTGCAGTGTTTAGGTCATAGTTTTCTTCATAAAATTGATGAGTTTTATCCTTCCTTTTTAGCAGTCATTTCTGGTGATTTCCTTGTAGTGTTTATTTCTTTAGTAACAATTCATATAGAAGCTGCTAATAAAATAAAAGTAATTTCATAATAGATCAGTAAAAAGTTCATGATCATATTGGGCTTGGCCTGAAGCTAGAAGAGTAAAGTGGCTACTGGGTGACAGCTTCAGATGACAAAATGACATCTTTTCCCCCTTACTCTTCAGTAAACTGTTGGTTCATCAAAAGCTTCTATGTATCTGTAAGACAAAAGATTCATGCTTTCCTCAGCCAGGAAATAAGGTTTTATTCTTCAAGTTAATGTAATTTGGTTAAATCGTGAGCTCAGAACCTTGAGGGTTTTTTGTTTGTTTGTTTGTTTTTCTCTTATGGCTCAAATGTTTTCTTTATTAATAGTGGTGAAATGTGTGTATTGTACGTGGCATGCGATTCTATTGCATCCTAATTAACGTGGAAAGAACAGAAAAGTTTTCAGGAAAATTGAGAATCTTTTATTTTGAGGTTGTGACTGATCTTTAATTTTGCTGGTTTACAGAATGTTCTTGTTCCAATATAGGCTGCACTTCATCTTTTGACATGATACATTTTGCACTGTGAAAATGGTAGCAAACTGAGGTGAAATTACGTGAGTCAAAGAAGTTAAATTTAGAGTAGTTAATTTTTGAAAGACCACCTGTTCAACGTAGATTGTTACCATTAGTAGATGAGGCTTTTTAGCTCGTTCCTGTGGATGCAGCAACAACGTCAGTTGGTTGTGAAGCTTAAGTACTGGTAAATCATGGCTGGGAACTAATAAAGATTTTTCTTACGTGCTTTTCAAAAAGCTTGTTGAGAATAAATGAGTGTAAATTGATAGACTTAATTTATAATGTCTTAACTGCACATAGAGCTGTATGTTAACATCATTTAAAATAATCAAATTTTTTACTTCATTCATGCAAGAAAATTATATGTGGTGTAGTACTAAGGAATTTGAGTTTTAGGAGTGCGTTGGGTAGAATTGTTAGAGGAAGAAAATCTAATACAGATAAAATCTCATGCTTCTCTATGCGATTCTTTCTTAAATTGCTTTGAGTGATTTTTCCTTTAGTTGGGGACAGGAGTGGGATGTGTGGTTGTGAGTATTCAGCTGTGACATATCTGCTGGAGCTGATAGCAGGTTGCTTACTGTAGGTATGTTCTGTGTAGATCTTTCTTTTCTCCACTGCAGATTGCAAGGAGAATCCCGCTCCTTTCATGGCAGAGTGCTAGTCACAGAATCACAGAATCACAGAATGGCCAGGGTTGGAAGGGACCTCAAGGATCATGAATCTCCAACCCCCCTGCCACATGCAGGGCCTTGTTTCTTGCTGCAGCTATTCCATTTATTTATGTTAAAAAGTACACAAATATGTGTATTTCACAAAGGTAGAAGAAACCTCAGCACTGTTTAACGTTCTTTAGCCTATTGTGCTTAATTCATGAATATTTTATATTATCCACACAATCTTAGATATTCATAGGCTTTAATGAGAGTCATGTACATATTCCTCCCGAAAGGCAGGGTTAATGAAGTGTTTGATGATTTTCCATCTGTCACGTAAATAGGGATGATATAAAAGTGAGTAGGAATAAGGTCAGTTTTAGAATGCTTCTTCTTTATTATTTTATTTTTGAATTTTCTAGTATTCGTAAAAAGAAGTGTTGGGCTGACTCCAAGACACATATGAAGTTCACTGTGTTCAGTATTACACACTTCTCTACATAGTAAAGAAGCACTACGGTGTTAAGCACTAAATCTTAGCTGACACATCATTTTATATTGGTTGTTTTGTTTAACAATTCATTTAAGGGCTGAAAGTATTTATATACATATAAGCATATACAAAAATTGTGATAGTGTAATCAGATCAAAGACATTTTATGCAATTGTTATTGGAAAATATGACAGAAGGATTTACCTCAAAAAACTGTATCAAACATATTAAAAAAATGTCGTATAGATCTTAAATTTTAATGTCTGTTGTTTTACACCGTTTATCATCAAGCAGTGAGAAAAGTGGATGACTGATTTTCCCTGTTGTTTCTGTGTTTCCCCAGTAGAGCAAAATACCAGGAGATAGCTGAGATATTCTTATAACTTGAATAATTTGATGTTCTCATTAGTTTTCTTCTTGACTGAAAATTGAAAGTTTTGGTAGTTCACCAAAGGTTACCTTCAGTTTTGCACAGTAGCTACAGTCTATGTAATGGCTTGGATGCCAGATTGGCTCTTTTATTTCAGTAAGGATTTTGAACCTGACTGGTTTATCATTTGCTTATTTATGTTGAACCCACCAACAGAAAAAAATGAAGCTTTGCAACTATGTCCTGGAATTGGTTCTAGCATGCTCTTTGGATTCCAGAACACAAACTGAGGTTCTCTGAGGCCAGTCTGCAGTGTTTTCAGTGACTATTACCCTGCAAATTGCTGGATAATGTATGTGAGAGAGATTGTCATTGTTTCATCTTTTTTTATTTTATTTTATTTTATTTTATTTTTAAAGAAAGTGGAGTTTTTCTGTTCTGACAGTCATTTGAAAAAGTAAAACAGCCTATTAGAGTATTTTTAAAGTACTCAAGTCTGCAGGGGAATGTAAATTTTTTCATTAGTCTCGTTAGTCCAACCTTTGCTGTTATATTCCAAGTTCATCTGTGCAAGAAACTGTTATTTCATGACAGTCACTGTTTGCCTGTGACAGTGAGAGGCTTGTGCTGATAAGGTCCATTCTTTGTGCTTCTGCTTCATCTCTCAAAACGTTTTTCATTTTCAGTGATAAGCTGTTATTAACACAGGAGGATTTATGCTTGAGAGGGATTGCTAATGTTTTTTCAGCAGGACCAGATCCTTCGGATGCTTCTCAAGTTGTCTGTGTCAGAGGTTGGCAGATAATAGAATCATGGCATCACCAAGGTTGGGAAGGACCTTCAAGATCATCCAATCCAACCATCCACCTATCACCAATGTTTCCCACTAAACCATGTCCCTTAGTTGAACATCTGAATGTTTCTTGAGCTCCTCCAGGGATGGTGACTCCACCACTTCTCTGGGAAGATCCGGGGGACTAGGCTCTTCCACACAGACTGGTGTGCATAGGAATGCAATCCCCCTTCTGGGGGCCTCCTTAACTTTAATGGGAGCACTCCACTCTTTTGTGCAAACAGGAGCCACTGGATTGCCTGATCAGATACAGCATTTGTATGCCTCCAGGTACATCAATAGTTTGTACCATTATGGAGGGCACAGCGTGTGATGAAATCACCCAGTGGCTGCAGTTTGCATGGGAGATGCTGAGATTTGCCTAATTGACATTGACATTGCACTGGTAATTTGCAGTCCACTGTGGAGTTCCTGCTTTGAAAACACCTGCTTTGGGAAAGTCCATGAGGGATGTTATTTGAGAGTAAAAAACAAAGTTTTTTCACCAATAACCTGTTATCTTTAATGTGCATATCTGTATCTGTGTTTCCTTCTTCCTTCTATCACAGTTCTGGTTGTTCCAGTGTGCAGTTACATTAATCAGGAGAGTAGAGTTTAAACATGCTCTGTGTAGATACTGAATTGTTAAAATAATGCATAGTTTTCTGGTGGCTAGGTCTACATATCCCTTTTATGTATATGTAAAATGAAAATATATATGTAGACCGTTAACAAAGTAGTAATTGCTTTTCTCTTTTGTTTCTCCACTTTCTGTGATTGTATGAAAAAGCACAGTATCTGTTAATATTAGAAAAAGAAGGCAGTCTTAGCTGCTGCTATATATAAATTTTTGGAGACTGCTGCTCAAAATGTTTTGGCATTCAATTGGTAGGGCATAATAAACAGAGAATTATTATATCTGAGGTCTGCTAAAGCATTCTGTAAAATTGCAGTGATGATTACTTCTGTATTTGTAGGTTTTGCTTATGTTCAAATTGCTTTGGTGAATTTCAAATAGAAATTTGTCCATGTGTCATGACATTGTTATTAGTTACGCTTGGAACAGGTGATCAAAACATTGAAAGAGAACAAAAGTTCACTCCAACTTCATTAAGTAGAATCTTATGTTTTGTACGTTTATTCTGTTTTCAATGTATTTTGTTAGAAGTGTACGTGTGTTAACTTTGAAACTGTTAATTGATGCTATTTTGTAATATTCTTTTGCCTGGTTCAGGTCTGATTATATTCACAATGCAAGTCAAACTTTCCAGAAAGTCTTATGAGAGTTCACTGAATCTTTAATATATTCTATTAATTATTCTTCAGCTACTTTCTTCACTTTCATAGTGAGAGGCATTGTTGTATAGGTGAGTGGGTGGGAAGATAGCTGCAGCATTGATTTTGGAAGTCTTGATTTGGAGATGATAGATTTGTGTCAGGTTTTTTTTTTTGCCTGAATTTCTGTAGCAGCGCTGTACACAATGTAAGCCCAGAGGTGCACTTAATGCTCTGTAGTGTCTGTTTTCCAGTCCTGCTTTCTCCTTTTGTCTAACGTGAGCTAACCTTTCCTGCTCGTTAATGGCAACTCTTCTGTTCTTGTTGAAAACTCTAATTGAAATAAATTACAGAAGATTTAACCAAAGTTGTTTCTTAACAACTGGTTGACCTATGTCTATAGAGAACAAACCTGAAGTATTTTCAGGTAATTTAGGGGTAATTTAGACCACTGTTGTTTATTTCTGCAACCTGAGAGCAGAAAGACATTCCCAGACATTCAGTTCTGATTTAGCCTTTGGATAAATCAAATTCAATTCTTATTCAGCCTTTGGGTTAAAGTAGGAAGCTCTGTCTGTGCATAAAGGCCAGTTAGTAAGAGGTGGAGTCTAACAACCTATTTGAAGATGGCTCTGTTGCCATCTCTGAAGGAAGTTGTTTTCTCTTAAGCCTTGTCCTGTTCAATGTGTGACAGCTCATCAGGCTGTTGGCTTGTATCACCTCTTTGGTTTTGGTACCAGTGAAGAGCTTTGAGGGAAAACATCTCAGCAACTTGTATGCCTTGGATCCTTCAGACCCATCTTTTTTGATTGTGGGCTTGGGAGGAGGACAGAGTGTATGTGAGCAGGGTTACAATTCCACATATGTATAAACCAGCAACGTCTTAATTTTGGAGATTTATTCTGTATTTGATAGGGACTGCACTTACCTTGGCATTCTGTCTTTGAATGGATTTTTAAATACCAGTGGCTAAGAGTCTGAATACTATATTAAAGTTAAGAAATGCAGGTGTGCAATAATAAATACCTACTTCTCTGTGTAATAAACGCATAGCTTAAAATGGTAATAGAATCTACAAGCATTTTTAAGCCAAAATCCAGTGATCATTTCTGTGATTGGCCTTCCAGTTTGAATTGTATTCATTTAGATAATGGTAGGCATACTGTTATAAGAAATGGATTCCTGTTAGTTATGATTTTAGCATAGTTACTAAGGTGTGTCATTCATCACCACTCACAGTATTTCAAATGAAGCTTAAACAAGGTGTGAGAAACAGCTTAGCTAATGTCAATTTTGTCCCTTTTGTGCTTTACTTGCTCTTTTTCCTTGTGTAAAGAGAAAAGTAGGATGTAAGGCGAGGTAAACTTTTCTGACTGTACACCGCTTCTGTGCCACAGTGAAAATACAGGGTTTTTTTTTAAATTGGTCTGTTCTTAAGCTGTATTTTAGCGAGTAGGATAATGCTTTACAATGTACATACATTTCTGTTGTATTGTCCAGGGGAAGTTCTGCACTGTCAGTGTGTTCTGACAACAAGAATGAGAAAAGTGCCTGTAAGATATTTAAACCAGGAGCGTTTCTGCTGATGAATTCAAGAGCAAACTTATGTGTTTTGTTAATGAAGCCTGTGAAAAATATTTCTTGCAACTTTTGTCCTTAGAAATAACAGGATGCTTTGATTGGAAATTAAATCAATTTTCCCCACCACAATGTGACTTCTGACACTGTATATGTTCTGTCCAGCATCCATGCGCTGCTCCACAGAGGGTATAGATCTCTCTCCAGCCTTGCCCAGTGTGATTGCCTGAAGCATACAGAATGAGACTTAGTCTCCTTGGCATAGATGCTTGAATCCTACCCTAAGCATGACAGGTTTCTGATTTCTGCCATTGTATGGGCTGTGATGTATTTCAGGATCTTTTCTTTTTAGCCAGTCACTTGATTTCAGGAGAGCTAACATGATGAATCTTAGCTTCTTTCTGAATTCTTCTGAATTTAAATCTGTTACCTTTTAGCTTCATTTCAGCTGTCCTAATTTTATGCAATTGGCCTGAGAAGCAACACACAGTGTCAATCTTGTTTAGAGTTATACTTCTTCCCCGACATACAGCTGGTCTATAGTGCTTTTGTTTTGTCTGGCACTGTGTCAGCATGGACAGGAGCATCTATAAAGACGATTTAAAGCTAAAAAATCAGAACCATCTTCAGCTATCATGGGAATATGAAAAGCAAGTTATGGTGACAGGAGGTGGCATTCTGTCCAGTCTGTGTTTTCCTGGAGGAAGCTAAGTGACTGGAATGTAAGGAAGTAATAGGTATTAGGTGAGTCTCTACATTGGTGTCAGTGCTAAGAAAAGGAGTAACAACATTGAAAATGGAACAGGTTTGGGCAGTGCGAGGAGATATGTGTGATCTTCCAGGCCTAATATTCTGCTGCTGCTCTCAGGGATCCATGTGATCTGCAATTGGAACAACCTGGCAAGGATTTAGTTCTGAAAGGGATGATGACTGTGTCCAATACTTTGTTTTGTTATTTATTCCTGAATCATCCTTTCTGAAATAGCAGATATGTTACTGTGTTTCAGGCGTTAAGTTAAATGAAAAGATTAGATTCAAATATATTAAGATGTCTGGAGTGCAAAATTAACCAGCCCCTGAAGAATGAAAAGCAATGGAGCAAAAACATTTAAACTGTTACGTCAGTATGTTTTTCAGTAACAATTCTTTCTGATTCAATTTTAAGTCATCAAATGATTAGCAACTATAAAAGTAATACTTCAGTAAAAAATAATTAATATTTTTATCTGTTTGTCTTTCAGGGCAATTAAAGCATTTCAGGAGGCGCTTTATGTTGATCCCAGCTTTTGTCGAGCCAAGGAAATTCATTTGCGACTTGGACTTATGTTCAAAGTGAACACAGACTATGAGTCCAGTTTAAAGGTAAGTTTAAGTCCTTTCAGATTCAATTTAACGTTTATTATAAGTAGTGCTGCATCTTAAAACTGGCAGTAATGGATAAATCATAAAGTCGCAGAATGGCTTGGGTTGGGAGGGACCTCAAAGATCATCTAGTTCCAACACCCCCTACCAGCCACTAGGTCAGACTGCTCAGGAACCTATCAAGCCTGGCCTTGAATGTCTCTAAGGATGGGGTGAACACCTCCAGGGATGTGTTCAATCCCACAATTGGAGATCTTTGCTCTAGACTGTAATGTGGAATAGCAAATGAACTGCAGTCAGTCATACTGGTGCTTGTTAATGAGTATTGCTTTCTAGCCTCTCTGCTTTGCAAAAACACAACCAAAGTTTAAGTGAAACCAGACATTTTAATGTATGGCTGTTGCATACTATTTACTTTCAAAATAAAAGTGCCAAAGTATGAAGTTTCTTACTCTAAAGACAGAGTAAGGATAGGATTTGAGGTGTGTTACTAGAAATATTCAGAAAAAAAAAAAAAAAATTGAAAATTAAAGATGAGCACTGGTTCTTTAGCAGTTTAAGTACAGTGGGATGAAAAATTTGCTGTGGGGCTCACACTGGAACAGTAAGTCTTGGGAAAAGGCTGAGGTAGTACAGAAAGCAGGAGAAAAAAGAAGAGAGGAATTAGCAGCTTGATTTCTAGATATTCATCTCTGCTTTTTTAGCTTAAGTATTGTAAACTATACGTTCATAAAAATCATTAATAATAGAAAGCTTTTACATTTTATACAAATAATGTTCTCAAATATTTTATTTGTTTTTGATTTTCTAATAGTGTAAAGGGAAGAGGGCAAACGGGGACTGTGGGTGAGAGAAAAGGTTCGCAAAGGTGGGGCTGCTCTACCATATGGGCAATTGGTGTGTGCCCATGGCAGTGAGACATGATGAGGTGCATAAAAAGGCATGTTTTTATATATCATAATACAAAAAATATATTAATTAATTCCTATATTTCATGATTTCAAAGTCTGATTAAAAGGCAACAATTTCTGACTAATCATTTAGAAATTGTGTCAATATAACTTTGTTTCTTCTCTTTTACTTGAAATTACTTACTATTTGCCTTTTTTCAGTTTCTGTAATATGTAGCTTTATCTCCTTCCATTCAACATCTTTGCTCCTTTATCCTTCCTTCCACTTAATGCTCTTTATCTCCATGTTCTTTCTGTCACAGAATCTAAATTTAGGAATCTGTATTTCTGAAAAAGGAAGCTTTCATCTTTTAGAGAGTTTCATAATATGCTGGGAAGTTCAGCTGTGTGGTTGAAAATTCTGTAATTTGTAATTCAATGTAATTTATACATATATTTCTGCATATTAATCTCTACTAAAGGACTATTGAAAACTTATTTGCTTCCAAAAGTGTTGCAGAATGACTTCCTTTGTTTTCCTGATTTTTCCAGATAGTTTTCCTGCGACTTGTATTTGTGTGGTTATCAGAAACGTGTCATCAAAGATTTGAAAGAGTGTTACGCAGTTTCTTCCTTTTACTCTTTGTAATAACAGGAAGCACTTCTCATCAGTGTTTCTTCTTTGATTTATAGTCCAAGCTTTCACCAACAGGGACAGGTGAAACTGGGAATTTTAATTAGAGAGGGCAGTGTTGCATAGGAATATGAAAGATTCAGTGTAGTAAGTGACAGAAGAGCAAGGGTATGTAGAATTAGATCATTGTGTTGAGGAGGGGTTATGTATGATTTTGTGTGGTCCTGTTTCTTCTTACTTGGGTGTGAATTTTGCATTGGCTGTTGCGATATGCAGGGAATAAAAAGGAGTGCCAAAGAAGTGAGTTTTTGTTTTTGATAGATATCTTAGGGACGAATAGAAGTGTGAACCCTTAGTAGTTAGCTTCTAATGAAGTAGTGAAAGGAACGTCTGCATTGTAATTTCTAGCAGAAGAATCATAGGATTTCAGAATCATGGAGTGGCTTGGGTTGGAAGGGACTTCAAGGATCATCAAGTTCCAACCCCCCTGCTGTGGGCAGGGCTCCAGCTGCTAGATCAGGCACTAGATCAGATTGCCCAGGGCCCCATCCACTGTGGCCTTAAACACCTCCAGGGATGAGGCATCCAGAGCCTCTCTGGGCAACCTGTACCAGCACCTCACCACTCTCTCAGTAAAATACTTCCCCCTGTATGTTATCTAGCTCCCTTTCTTTAGTTTAAAACCATTCCCCTTTGTCCTATTACTTTCTACCTGAATAAAAGGTTGATTTCCCTCATGTTTATAAACTCCCCTTAAATATTGGAGGGCTGCAATGAGGTCTCCGTGCAGCCTTCTCCTTTCTAGGCTGAACAAGCCCAGTTCTTCCAGCCTGTCTTCATGGGAGAGCTGCTTCATTCCTTGGATCATCTTCATGGCCCTCCTCTGAACCCTCTTCAAAAGCTCCAAATCTTTCCCATGTTGGGGGGCACCAGACTTGGACTCAGTATTCCAGCTGGGTCCTCACAAGGGACAGTGGAGGACAATCACCTCCCTCACCCTGCTGGCTACCCACCATTCTGATTCCATCAGAATGGAACTCAGGATACCATTGGCCGTTTGGGTTGCAAGCACACACTGTTGACACGTGCACTTTTTCATCAACCAGGACCTCCAAGTCCTTCTCAGCAGGGCTGCTCACAAGGAGTTCCTCTTCTAGTATGTATACGTATCTGGAATTACCTCGACCCAAATGCAAAACCTCACATTTTCTTTGTTGAACCTCATTAGGTTCACAAAGACCCATATTTCAAGTTTCCCAAGGTCTCTCTAGATGGCATCCCTTCCTTCTGCTGCATCAAATACATCACTCAGCTTACTGTCATCAGCAAACTTGGTGAGAATGTATTCAAACCCATCATCTATGTCACTGATAAAGTTATTAAAGAGTACCAGTCTCAAGATGGACCCCTGCGGGATGCCACTCATTACCAGCCTCTACCTGGATGTAGAGCCCTTGACCACAGTACTCCAGCTGTGACCTTTGAACCAATTATCTACTGAGTAGCCCACCCTTCAAATCCGTGTGTCTTCAATTTAGTGTTAAGGGTGTGGTGGGGGACCATGTCAAAGGCTTTGCTGAAGTCCAGGTGGATGACGTGAGTTGCCTTCTCTTTGTTCACCGATGCTGTCACTCCATCGTATAAAGCCACCGGATGGGTCAGGCATGGCCTTCCCTTTGTGAAGCCATGCTGGCTCATCCCTCATGTGCATTAACGTGTCTTCCAGGAGGATCTGTTCCATGACCTTCCCAGGCACTGACTTGAGGCTGATCTGCCTGTAGTTCCTGTGTTTTCCTTTCTCCCTTTCTTGTAAATGGGAGTGATGTTTCCCTTTATCCAGTCACCAGGCACTTCACCTGGCAGCTATGATTTTTCAAATATGAAAATTGTCAAGAATTAGATAACTCCTTCCTGCTGTGCTATAAAGTATATAATTCTGTCACTGAATCAAGTATTTAGATAGATATGTTGAGAATTTATTCCATATCATTTACTAGATTTCATTTTATCTCTTTGCAAAATAAAAAGGTCACGCAGATCCTTAGAGATTTTTCGTGTAGCAAAGTTTTAGTTTTCAGTACACCGATAATGACTGTGAGAAAAGCGCCAAAAAGCTTTTTTTTAAAATGGAAAAGGAATTAACCTTTTATAAATGCAAAATTACCATGATTCCATTGTTTTTACGTGCAGTGTGATTAAGGCACTTATGAAAACAAATAACAACAAAAACAGCTTACTCTGAAGCATAGCAAAGATCTTCAGAAGGATTATGAAATAAACATGAGAGTAAGTTTGCACTGAGGATAGTTTCCTTTAATCAATGTAACTACAGGCTTTTGCTAAAAGGATGTCTCATTTTGCACTTTCTCATCCTGATTGCTGCAGTGAGTCTAGTGACTTTCCATTCGCAGAGTGAAGTGGACTGCAAGTCTGAACTAGCTCAGCTTGTGACTGCACAGATCTATGATAGATGCATGATAGAAAGCAGGAGTGTGCAAATGGGAAGGAGAGGGAAGAGCTGTGTTGTTCCCTTCTGATACACAGACATTTGAAACTCTCTGTACTCTGAAATACTCAACTGAAACACCTAAGGTTTAGTTTCTGTTTTGCTCCTTTGACTGTGAAAGTTGCTATCTTTAGCAGGGAATCAATAACCAGCAGTGAGGAGCAAGACCAAATGGACCCAGTGGAGCAATCCAATTGGTCTTGAACAGTTTGGGTTGATTTCATTTTTGTTCAGCTGCGGGTTTAATACAGAGTCTTGAGACTGATTTGTTTTATTCTACATTGAAACAAATCAATGTGTCTATCAGAATATATAAGTTAATGTATAAATTGAGGTGTAGAGTAAGTGGAATGAGCAGGACAGTAGCTTCTTGAAAAGCCAATCAGATTGATCTCAAAGTTGAGGTTTAAGACAGAACTCTCTGTATTAAAAGAATATTAGACACAAACTGGACACAAGGCAGAAAATAATTCTTTAGTGAAGAGAACAAAATGGTGGAGATTATGCACAAGCACAAGGATAATAAAATGAGAAAGAGAAGTGCAAAAAATGTTTTCACTCTGTGAAAAATGTCTGCTTCCAAAACTGAACGTCTCATCTTTTCAAAAAAAAAGGATGATTGTGTTGGTTTGGTTTGCTTTGGTTTGTTTTTTTTTTTGTAGGTGGTGATGGTGCTTTTTTGTTTTGTTTTGTGGACCTTGTCAAAAGGATTCAGGATTTTAAAGAGTGGCATTGGGTTTTAGGATCAAGGCAGCTAATGACCGGCCATGAACAGAGGCCATTTCCCTGAGCCTCTATCTAATATAATTCATAATCCAGTATGAGTTTCCTGTATGACACTAAGGCAGAAAGTAGGATTAAGTTTTCATCTGATACTCTTCTTTGATGGTTCTGAATTTCACAAATTGTACCAACGTTGCATTAATGTACTTTAAAATATCATAATATTTTTGATGGTATTTAAACATTC